TGGCATATCAATTATCGCGTACACGCCGCGCTGCTTGGTGAGAAAAATACGCGATACATATTCCACGGAGGGGTGGAGGAAGGGCTTGCTTGACCTCGCGCAGGGCGAAACGATTGACAACGGCGAGAAGAAAGGCAAGACAGACCTGACTTGCGCATTCGAAGCTGCAGAAAACAGTGAAAGTGGGACGCCGATGAGGGGAATGTGGAGGAGGGAGGGGGCGGCATCAGCCAGAGGATGGGGAGGGCGAGGAGGAGGAGGAAAGCGCACATGAGGGAATACCATTTGGCAACACATCTGACACCCTGATCGTGAATGTTCGCCACGTCGGGCTGTTTTATAACAGTTCGATAACTGTTCATAACTTGTTTTAAGTATTTCGTAACTCTTCCATAAGTTCCATAAGTGTTGTAAGACTTTGGCTCGCCTAGTGAATGCATTTATAACGCGTTACGACCAATATACTAACTTGTTGGTGGTGCACCGTATGTATGTTAGTAAGGTGGGCAGCTCTCTGCAAGCTGATATATGTGTGTTATAACATTTTTTTTGTTATAAGATGCTACTAGGAACTTAGCCGACCTACAAATACACTTGGCCAGGTTATAACCTAAGTTGTCGAGATTATAACTTATCTTATAAACCACACAACCCGAAAACTCACAAAGTGGACGCCCGAATTATCCGGGGTAACTCGGGTCCGGGGTAAGTCGGGTTCGGAATCCAGACAAAACCAACCCGAGTTAGCCCTGACCCGAGTTACCCCTGATGATTCGGGGCTCTGAATCCCAGAAATATTATCGAGCACCCGGAAAAGTGTCCAGAGAGCGTCGAAACAGTGTGTCTGGAAATAGAGCACCCAGACATCCGATGTCTTCATTTGTTCCATACGGCCTCCCTGGAAGTCCCGACCCTCTCCCCGGGACAGGTTCTTCGTCCTGAGCCGTTTTTTGACGGTCCTGGGGCCCGGCGAGGGCCCCCAGAGGCCAAAAACTTAGCAAAACCTCCGTCTTGATTTTTTCAATACGCTGGAAGTCTGGGCAAGCAGCAGCAACCGCAAGCATCGCACCACCAAGCCGCCGGCGCCGGACGTCGCAGCACCCCGTCGCCAGTGGGGGGGGCGCCCGCCCCAGCCCAACGGCGGCCCTGCTACGAGCCGCGCATTCGGCCCCAGCAGCGCCGCGAGCCCCAGGGCGGCTGGAGGAGGAGGAGGAGGAGGAGGAGGAGGAGGAGAGGAGGAGCGAGGGGGAGGAGAGGGAGGGATGAGGAGGGAGGAGGAGGAGGAGGAGGGGAGGAGGAGGAGGAGGAGGAGGCGGAGGAGGAGGAGGGGAGGAGGAGGAGGAGGAGGAGAGGGAGGAGGAGGAGGAGGAGGAGGAGGAGGAGGAGGAGGGGGAGGAGGAGGAGGAGGAGGAGGAGGAGGAGGAGGAGGAGGAGGAGGAGGAGGAGGAGGAGAGGAGGAAAGGGAGGAGGAAGAGGAGGACGCCTCCTAGGACCCGGGAAAGCGCAATGGCGGGGCGCCCGCCCCGGCCCAACGGCGGCCCTGCTACGAGCCGCGCCTTCGGCCTCAGCAGCGCCGCAAGCCCTGCAGGGCGGCCGTGGCACCCGCCGCCCCCTATTCAGCAGCGCCGCCGCCCCCAGACCCCCCCCCCAATGCATTGAACAAATCGAAGCGGAGGTTTTTCGCAGGCCTCTAGGGGCCCTCGAGAAACTCGAGACGAAGGTTTCTCGCACTTCCCAGCATCTATATAAAAGCACTCGCCGGGCCCAGCCAGCGCGTCAAAAAACGACGCAGGACGAAAAACCGGTCCTGGGGAATGGGTCGAGACTTCCGGGGGCCCCGCATTGAAAAAATCACGACGTCGAATCTCCGGGGCCTCCTGCCCGTCCCTGTACTGCGCGCCCGGCCGCGGCCCGCTCCCTCAGCGCTGCGGCCTGGGCCGCTACTCGGAGGCCGGCCAGGCCCGCCAAGCCCCGAGAGCGCAGCCGCTGTTGGCGCCGTGCTGGCCCCGTGCTCCTTGCTCCGCCAGCCGCGCTGGCCGCGTCCAGGCCGATGGCCCCGCCGGCGGCCGGCGCCCCGTTGCCGCTGGATGCGCCGCCGCCGCCGCCGCCGCCGCCTCTGACGTTCGCGCCCTCGCCGCCGGCCTCATGTTCACCGCCGCCGCCGCCGCCCAGCTTCCCACCCAGAGACCCGATGTCGTGATTTGTTCACTCTACGGCCCCCCCAAACATCTCGACCCGTTCCCCGGGACTGGCCTTCCATCCTGAGTCGTCTTTGTGACACTCCCGCGGCCCGGCGAGGGCCCCCATGTAGGAGAGGCCGAACAACTGCGAAAAACCTCCGTCTTGACTTGTTCAATGCGTTGGCTCTCGGGGTGCCCATGGGCCGCGCTGGCGCGGCGGCGTCGCCACTGCGTGGCCCGCCTCCGAGCGGGCATCGGCCCACGCGCCCTTGGCCGGCGAGCGCATCCCAGCGAGGCCGGCGGGTCCTGTGGGGCCCCTGGGGCCCCCCGGGCGCGGGCGCCTGCTCCCGCTCCGGCGGGGCGGCCTGCAGTCGAGCGTCCACAGACACGATCGCGTTGCCAAAAAAGCAGGGCGCCAAAATTTGGCGCCCTGATTGTTTGGCCACGCGATCTTGGCGAAACATTTAACGTTTCGCCATTTTCACTTTTCGGCCACAGGGGGCCTTCGCCAGGCCTCCGGACCGTCAAACAACGACTCGGGATGAAAAGCTGGTCCTGGGGAAGGGGTCGGGACTTCCGGGGACACCGTCTTGAAAAAATCAGGACGTCGCATCTCTGGGTCTCGCACACCTGCTCAGTGGGGTCCCCCTCCAGACCACCGACGTCATGATTTTGTCATGACGTCGACCCCCAGAGGTTCCGACCCCTTCCCCGGGACCAGCTTTTCATCCTGAGTCGTTTTTTTAACGGTCCCGAGGCACGGTAAGGGCCCCAAGTAAGCAAGAAGGCCATGCATCCAAAAGGACGCGTGGGCTGGCAAGGACACTCCTGGTTCCTGCCGTGATTCGCTGCGACAGACAATCGGCGCCAGCGCGGATTGGACTAAACAGCCCAAGAGGAGGAGGAGGAGGAGGAGGAGGAGGAGGAGGCGGAGGAGGAGGAGGAGGCGGAGGAGGAGGCAGAGGAGGAGGAGGAGGAGGGGCGAGCTCCCGCGGAAAGAGGCGGTCGCACGGCCATGCGCTTCGCGCGCGGCATCCGGGAAACAAAAATGCCCCGCATCCGCGGGGTCACGGCCCAGAGGCCCGGTCCACGAGGCCGCGGATTCGGGCACGTCTTCGCCCACGAGCTCAGCCGTGCGTGCTCGGAGGGGCACAACTAGACATCAAGACCCCACGATGGGAAACAACTGCACTACGTCTACTACGGCTGGCGTCGCAAAGACAGCGTGGAACACCGGTCTCCGAGAAGCACGCGACCCCCTAACTAACATAGAGCTTCCTCTGCATACCCCTCTCCCAGTCTGGCGAGGTCTCCCTCTGTGAACGCCGTGTCCCTGTCAGGGTTTTACCAGCCTGGAACATATCCCCATCCCTATGCCGGGCACCACCTCATCACGATGCCGATCTTAGGGGTTCCCTTATTTTTTGAGGGCGGATCCCTAAGATTGTCATCGCCTTTTGGCGTGCCAATCTTGGGGATAGGGATACGTTCGAGGCCGGTAAGGGGTGTCTTCGGCGCGCGGTATCCCCGAGGGGGGGGGGGGCTATAGCGTGGCATAAGCGGGCCAGCGGCGCCACATGGCACGCCACATGTGCAGCGCAATCTCCGTAGATTCCATGGTGGCCCAAGTCGCATCGAGACGTATATGAAGGGGCCTCGGGACACACAAATAAAGACACACAAGTAAAACTATTCCCCATGTGTTCCTATATTTTCTGGGTTTTTTGTCTTCCCCACCACTTCCCATATTTTTCCACATGTTCTGGGGGATCGACGATTCATTGTGTCTGTGTGTTTTTTCTCTCCTGAGTATAGACTGGACACAACTGGGCGAGAGGCTTCTTCCGCAAAGACGACCACCTGGTCCCACGCGTACTATATTACAGCATATTCGTGAAACAACGAAGAAGCGGGCAGAGAAAGGCTCCGTGAATCAAGGTCCGAGGCCAGAAGGCCAGAACATAATGAGACACCCGAGAGGCCAGAGGAGGAGTAGGAGGAGGAGGAAATGCGACGGACGCGATGAGACACGACCCCCGCCGTCATGATATATTTCTGACCGTCGACCCCCAAACGTCTCCACCCAGTCCCCGTGACCAGCTTGTCATCCAGAAAAGGTTTTGACAGTCCCCAGGCACGGCGAGGGCCCCCAGAGGCTGAAAATGAAGAAACCACTACAGTGGTGATTTTCCTATGACTCGAGGAGGCCTGGGGACACGACCAGACGAGACGGGAGGCCAGAGGAGGAGCAGGAGGCGGCCATGAGACACAGCTAGACGAGAGCGGGACGGGGGGAGTGGAGCAGGGGCCGACCGCCCCAGCACTCCCACAGGCCTGCCGCGACGTGCTCTTAGAAGAAAACAATGCTCGAAACACGAAAGCAATGTTCTCAGAACGCAACACCGTCCGTTTACGTAAAGCAAGAGGCCTCAGCCGGAAAGGCTCTGAGAACACTCTGGCGCAGACCACAGCTGGTTTTTGGAACACTCTCTGGTGGACCTGTAGGCCAGCCTGTACGCGCCGACACTGCTTTGATGGGCTTGTTTTCCACTACCACTACCATCAGTTAGAGGGGAAGGGGAGGTGGCGAGGAGGAGGAAGAAAAGGAGGAGGAGAAGGAAGTGGAGGAGGAGGAGGAGGAGGAGGTGGAGGAGGAGGAGGAGGAGGAAGAGGAGGAGGCGAGAGGGGAGGAGGAGGGGAGGAGGAGGAGGAGAAGGAGGAGGAGGAGGACCCCCTCCCCCCCTCCTGCTTCTGGTGGTGGCAATGGTAAGCGAACCCATCATGCTTGAGGGCGGGGCGGAGGGCACGCCGCCCCGAGTCCTCGACGCCCTGCTCCAGGCAGCGGCCCCGCACGTGCTCCACCAGAGCGAGGCCGTGGCCCCCTTAGGCCGGCCACCCGCGCGCGCCTGCGTCCTCCTCCTGCTCAAGTCTCCTCTTTTTTCCTCCCTCTCCTCTAATCCTTAATCCTACCTCCCCTCCTACTCCTCCCCGCCCCTCTCCCTCCTCTGCCCGCAGCACTCTCCTCCGCCCACCCCTCCTCCTCCTCCTCCTCCTCCCTGCTCAAGGTTCTCCTCCAACCTTGTCCCCCTTCTCCTCTCCTCCTCCTACCTGAGCCCCTCATCCTCCTCCTCCATCCGCTCATCATCCCTCGTCCCTCCTCCTCCTCCTCCCCTCCTTGTCTCCTCTCAATCCCTCCTCCTCTGCATCAAAGCATCCTCCTCCCCGTTTCTCCTCCTTCTTCTCATCCTCTCCTCTCATCCTCCTCCCTCCTTCCTCCTCCTCAATCCTCCTCCTCCTCCTCCTCGTCCTCTCCTCCTCCTCATCCTCCCTCCTCCTCCCCTCCTCAGCCTCCGCCTCGTCCTCATTCCTCCTCCTCCCTCCTCCTCATTTCGACTCGCCCTCCTCCTCCTCCTCTCCTCCTCCTCCTCCTGCTCCTACTCAGTCCTCCTCATCCTCCGCCTCCCTCCTCCTCCTTCCTACCTTCCTTCCTCCTCCTCCTCCTCAAGCAGCCCTCCTCCTCTCCTCCTCCTCTCCTCCTCCTCCTCCTCCTCTCCTCCTCTCCTCCTCAAGCCCTCCTCCTCCTCCTCCTCCTCCTCCTCCTCCTCCTCCTCCTCCTCCTCCGTCTCCTGCCAGCCCGCGCCCGCTCCTGCGGCTGCCTCTGCCCCTCGGCTCCTCCCAGAACGACGCGCCCTCCGGACAGGCCGCCGTGGGCGGCCGGCGCGCGTCGTCCGAGACACCGGCGCCGCGCCCGCCCGCCCGCCCGGGGAGCCGAGCAGAATGGCCCCGGGGGAGAGGAGGAGGAGGAGGAGGAGGAGGAGGAGGAGGAGGAGGAGGAGGAGGAGGAGGAGGAGGCGGAGCGGCAAGAGAGCTGCTCAGAAGTCCAGGGAGCTGCCCCGTGGGGAGCCCGCCTGCCCCCGAGCAGCGGCATTGGCCTGCCGGTGCAGCACAACGCCGCCCAGCCGCTCGCTCTCTGCGCACCGCCTGCGCGGCGCGGAGGGTGCAGGCCCTCGACGCCGCGCGCTCCTTCCGGGCCGAGCGCGGGCGCCGCACGCGCCCAGCTCGGCCCGCGGCCCTCACGGGCCGTGCCGCAGGCCAGTACCCCACGCCGGCGCCGCAGCGGGCGATCTCACTGTGCTTCTCTTTCTATGTACCTCCCTCTCTCTCTCTCTTTCTGTGTCTGTGTGTGTGTGTGTCTCTCTCTCTCTCTCTCTCGTCGTTCTTGCTGTGTCTCTCTCTCTCTCTCTGCCTCTCTCTCTCTCTGGCACTCTCTGGGTGCATCAGCTCTCAAGCTCCTCACTACCGCAAATTGACACCCGGCGACGGTGCCGCCTCAACATGCCCTCGACACGAAATGCTGACACGGGTGATCTTTACTTTGGCGAGGGTGCCCTTGGGGAACCACTAGGTGCCCTCGGTGCGCGATCGAGAATTGCCAAGGGGCTTGCATGACAATCGCGCGCCACTGCAAACACCAGCTTCGCAAATTGGTTATTTGGCGGTGCTGTCGCAAATGACTGCCACACACACACACATTACGACAAAAACAACATATAGCAAAGCGGGGTCATGTATGTGTTGCCATATGTCGCTGTCTATCTCTCTACCTGTTGTATGTGTTGCTAGTTTGTTTGATGTATGTGTTTCAATAGCTCGCTTTCTTTCTCTCTATCTCTCTATTTCGTCTGTTTTGCTTATTTGTTTGCTCTCTCTCTCTCTTTCTGAGGCTCTCCGTCTCTTTTGACGAGACCCTCCCCGCCCCCCTTCCAAGGGTGTGTGGGGGGGTCAAACCGCCTCCCCCCCTCAGCCAAAAGGAACGGAAGGACCCCCCGTTCCTTATGAGTGTTATGAAGGTTATGAATGCTCGAACGAGCTCTGCTAGATCCGAATTAAAACCGGATCCAACCTACCTTGACTAGCATCCCAGTCGGGCTCGATCCAACTCGCATAGAAGCTTTATTATATCTGGGTCCAGTTCATCTTGAATCCTACTAGGGCTCGATCCAGCTCTGATAGAATCCTACTATAGGTGGACCCCACTCTGATAGCACCCTAGTCAGGCTCGACCCCTAATCTTATAGTATCGTCCTATAACTGGATCCAGCTGTAATGCCACCAGCCTTTTGGGCGACAGGTGGTCTAAGGGTGATCACATTTTTCTTCCACAACCCCTCTTTCATTCGGGGAGGGGAACCCTCCCCCTCCCCTCCCTGGGGTTTTGTGGGAGGAGGACCGCTGTGTCAGAGGGTCCTTCTTTGGCCAGTGGGAGGGCCAACTTTTGACACCCCTCATGAAGGATCGTGGCCCCCGAAGGGGGGGCAGACATCGAGGACCCCGCCTCTGTTGACCGACCGCCTCGAAGATGGCCCCAAGAGGCCCTCCAGGGCTCCCAAGAGGTCCTCAAGAGAGCCCCAAGAACGCCCCAAGAGGCCCTAAGAGGCCTCCAAGAGGCACCCGAGAGGCACCCAAGAGGCCCCTTGAGCGGCGCCCCAAGAGGCCCAAGAAACTCACCCGAGGCACGCAAGAGGCCGTCTCGTCCTCGTCCTCATCGTCGTCGTCCTCTTCCTCCTCCTCGTCCTCATCCTCGTCGACCTCCTCGTCCTCATCCTCCTCCTCCTCGTCCTCGTGTTGCTCCTCCTCCTCCTCCTCCTCGTCCTCGTCCTCGTCCTCTCGTTCTCGTCCATATCCTTCGTCCTCGTACTCGTCATGTTCCTCCCCCTCCTACTCCTCCTCTTCCTCCTCCTCCTCCTCCTCGTTCTCCTCCTCCTCTCCTCGTTCTCATTCTCCCCTTCGTCCCCTTCCTCATCCTTCTCCTCCTCCTCCTCCTCCTGCTCCTCCTCACCCTCCCCTTCCTCCTCTTCCTCCTCCTCCTCCTCCTCACTCTCTTAGTTCTCGTCCTCCTCATCCTCGTCCTCCTTTTCCTCCTCTTGCTCATCTTGCCTCTTCCCCCCTCCTCCTCCTCCTCCTCCTCCTCCTCCTCCTCCTCCTCCTCCTCCTCCTGCTCCTCCTCCTCCTCCTCCTCCACCTCCTCCTCCTCTTTGCCCCCCCCCCAACGCGGGCCCGAAGATGGCCCCAACACGCCGTCCAGGCCAATCTCCCTCGCGGTTTGACTATGCGTGTCTCTTCCTCTCTCTCTCCCCGTCAGCTTTCATGGGCATCGGTTCTGGATGGGGCTGGTGTGGATATGCGAAGCGTCAGGAATTGAACCATACTGAGAACCGATCCGTGGGCTCGATCCTACTCTGATAGAGTTGCATACGGGCACAAACCAGTCTTTGTAGCATACTAGGCTCGATCGTCATCGTCATCGTTGCCCGACGCCGCCAGCGCCGGCGTCGGCGCTCGCCGTCGTCGGTTGCCACTGGGGAGGACCCCCCTCCCGGTTCGAACCCCCCGGCCCCCTGCAATTCAAAGGGGCGGGGCCGGTTGGAACCCCCAATACCCCTTGCGTCCCCCCCTCCCATTTCAGGGGGCGTGGCACCCCTGAAGTTCGACCCCCCTCCCCTTCCCAGTGTCAACAGAACGCCCTCTTATACACAGATGATTCTGCACATTATATATTTATGCATGCATATGTATACATATACATGTATTTATATGTACATCTATGATACTATGTATATACATATCTTATGTATATATGTATGTCCATGTCCTTCTGTTTCTCGTTCATTTACAAACATATCTATACACATACAACTATGTGCGTGTGTGTTGTGTGCTTGTTGCTTCCTCTCTCTCTCTCTCTCCCGTCCGCTCCTTCTTCCTCTCCCTCTTTCTTTCTCTCTCTCTCTCTCCTCCACCCCCCCTCAACCCCTCTCGCCGTCTGCGAGTGAGCCAGAACATGCATGGCAGAATAGACTCAGCATGGCGGAACCTGGGGCCACTTTGAGCTCTGGAATCAGCATGGCGGAACCTGGGGCCACTTTGAGCTCTGGCCTGTCCACAGCGCTGGAGCACAAAACATTGAGACAACACCCAGCCCTGAGATGACACACTTGTCACCCGCTGTGGCCTCATAAGACTGCCCCCCCCCGGCCTCTCCCCGCGTGTCCCAACAGTCCAGTCCCATTTCCAGTCCGCCGTACTCGTCACCTCTGACTCTCTTGCTCGTTCCTTCCCTCCGCCCGTGGGAGCCTGCATCCTTCCCCCCACTCCCTGGTGCCCTCGTGCGCTGTGACTGGTACCTTGTTGCTGGTGCCATATATGGAGCCTTATGGCAGGTGCCCTGCTGTCAGTGCTCTATGGTTGGCGCGTTGTGGCTGGTGCATGGTTGTGCCATATGGTTGTTGTCGTATGGCTGGTGCCGACATGGTTCCGTACGGCAGGTGTCACATGTCTGGTGCCCTCTGGTGTTCCATGCTTTGTGCTTTAGCTGAATACTATAGGTGCCAATGGTTGATGCCCAATTCTGGCCCAGATGGTTGGTTGGCGGCCCAGGGGGTTAATAACGCAGTGAACTCCTTTGGGGGTCCACACGTTGGCATCGTGATCCTAGCCAGTGAGCTTGGAAATCGCATTGGGAGCATGACAGGTGTGTGGTTGCAACAGTCTGCCCTTGCCTTCGACCTCATTCATTACATGGTGCTGTTAACGAACAAAACACTGCGACATTCAAGGGGCAGGGCCTTGCCTTGTCAATTACGAGTGCCGCCTGACATGTTCTCGCACATCTCACCTGCCCTTTTCATCCTACTCCTCCTCCCTCCCTCCATTCGACCTCCTCTCCCCATCCCTTCCTCTGCCCTGCCTCACCCCTCATGCACTGAAATGAAAAAGGGAGAGGGAGGGATGGGGGAGGAGGGAGGGGGGAAGCAAGCGGT